GAACTTTTAAAAAGACTTTTCGTTTTTCCTCAATAACTCCCGAACGGATGGACGTAGGGGGGCGTATTTAGACTCATTTTGTAGGGGGTGACGAGATCTACAATTTCTGTGCAAAAAGAATTCGCTAGTGCCAATAGTCAACGAGTTATTTGCAAAAAACTGTTTTTCTGTTTTTTGCCAATCTAGCCAGGATTTTCACACGCCACTGTATGTACGAGTAATAAGCCGTGTATCTTTATTTTATATTTAGACACTGAACATATATTTCAAGGGAATGATCAAAAAGAATTCACTGCGGCATGCAGTACGTGTTCCGGAAGTGTTGATAATTCATCGGCGGACAGGCCGTGGCCATTCTGCAGTCTGGCCACGTCCACGGGACTTGATATTTAAAAGGAGTTCTCGTTTTCTCCGAGTCTAACCCAGAACGAGTGAAACGTTGAAGACGAAGCGAGAGAGCGGCGGGTCAAATTTGCCCTGCTTATATTTAAAGTAGGCGTGGAAGAAAGATTTCAAGCAAATTGAGATAGGAATCTTTTCGAAAAACTTCGGTCTAACAATAACTTTGCCTCATCTCTCTCTCTCTCTCTCTGTCCTTCTCAGAACGCTTATAGTAAGCGTGGTCGTTTAAACCAGGCAGCTGAAGTCTCGACTCGAAAAACTTTAGTTTCTCCCCCCCTTTTAGTCGCGCGGGACGAGATGGGTCCACGTGAAAAATTTCAATTTCAGCTCGGAACCGTTTATGAAATTCGATACCGTTTCATGGTCTCAAACGAGAAACGAGATATGTACGAGTCGAACGAAATGGAATTTCGAACGGCGGCGTGGAAACTCGCTCGGTTTCACAGTTCCGCAGGAACTTATCGCGGCGATATCGGTTTCACGCGGAGGGACAATTAACTCGGCGCGCCGGAATTAATGCACACGCGGTAAGCGGCGTGTTCCGCCGTGAATGGAGCCAGGTCGGTGTTGTGAAACAACATCGGGAACTCGAGTTCCTCGCCTGATCTCATTGCACTTTACGTAGTTATCTTAATCGTGAATCGAACCACATTCGTGGTGTACATGTGATTAAACATCTATTTCCTAATACCGATTATGAGAAAGAAAAAGAGGACAGTTTACTATACGACGAGATAACAGCCGTTGCACGGAAGCAGAAGAGGTACGACCGTGCGCTGACTCGAACCACTGCGGCCTCAGCGATTCGGCTCACGTCCGACCGTGTATTGACTAATTCTACTGATTTCCACCGCGCATTTGAATTCGCTCGCGATCGGGAGAGAGTGTTTTACAAATTCCGAACTACTTTTCACTGATTGCGAGAGGAAACGTGTACTCGCGGGCATACACGGGAGAGCGTGGGACGACTCATTACATATTCGGTCGCGACCCCGGGGGCGTTTCCGCGGAAGCGAGAAAATTGTCCCGACAGAGTAAATACGCGCGAATGTTTGCGTTCACCGAGCGGATTCCTTTCTGGCATTTCGGTTTAAGCGAGAATACAGCCGCGGAGCTCGTCGAGGGTGCTCTCGCATTCCGCGTGTATAACCGTGTCCGT